CTTCCATTTCTTGACTGTAGATGCATCATTAGGTTGTGATTCTCAAAGAAATAATTGTAAAGGAATTATAAAATATGTCAATAAAACTTTTAACAAAATTATAAGATAAAACTTAATAATTTTATCTCCCCATTTTACGAGTCAGGTCTTTTAATTTTGAAGTAATGAAACTTCAACAGTGTGTCTAGAACGTTGATATTTGAAGAGCTCTTGTTTTTATTGAATGGGCGTTAGTGAAAATGACTCGCTCTGAGAATATTTTTTACTCTTGTTTTAAATGTGTATTCATCCTTGACCTGCAAGTTTGGGTCGTAAAATACACATTCGGTTAAGTGTTCAATACTTTGTTATTTGATTTCAAATGTTTTTAAGTGTTCAAAGGTATTGAACACTTAATCGAATGTGTAATTTACGACCCAAACTTGCAGGTCAAGGATGAATAATCAATTAAAACAAGAGAAAAAAATATTCTCAGATTGAGTCATTTTCACTAACGCGCATTCAATAAAAACAAGAGCTCTTCAAATATTAACGTGGGAAATTCTTCACAAGAAACGCCTGTTACTTGTTTTATTTTCGCATTTTAATTTTCGTAGATAAAAATTAAATGCAGAACACGTAACAATAACAAAGGAATAAAACCGTTTTTATTTTCTATTTCATACTCTAAAAGTTGACAGTGTAACCCAGTACATGTTACTTGTTACTGAAGGTACTAATTAATCAATTAATGTACATAAGTTAAAGCCATAAACATTTACTAAGTAGACTATTATAATTGTACTCTATTGTAGCAAAGTAATGTTTTATTTAAAGGTTTTTGGGTAAAAATATGGTAAATGTTGTTCCAACTAATTTGCAGTCACTATTTATGTTGCACACGTCATATAAAATGAATGTTTTCCTATAGGCCACAGTATTGCCCCTTTTAAGGGTCTGCATGTAAGTTGTTACATTTTATCTGTATTCTGTATTGTCTTAAATCTTATTCTTATTATCTTATACTACTCAGGTAATCAATCGTTTGTGCCTGAAAACTGGTCTAAGTTTCTTTAAATATAGATCTCAGATTCAAAGGTTATTTTCAACAAATTGTATGCCTAACAGTGTGATTGGCATAATTTTAAATGCCAGTATAATTAGTGTACGTATAAAGTTCAAATCTAAAAATAAGGTCATGTCATCCAAAGGGTTTTAATTTTAGAAACTAAAAACTGGAGCTTTTAGTTATTTTTGATTCCTTACAGACAAAACATATACCCCCTACTTTTCTTCTTGTTCGAATATAAATAAGAATTCAACAAAAATCATGGGACTAAGAACTTATGAAAATGTATGATGTCCATTCCATTACACCTAAGATTATCACCTTTGGCAATGACGTTGTGTTTTCATGTCTTGTTGTTTAATACATGTACTTATTTGATTTCAAAAAAGGTTTTAAGAACAAATAATTTGAATTAAAAATTGGAAATTGTGATATTTAATTCCCAACTCTTAATAAAACCATTACAACCATTAACCATATTGTTTAAACTTTTATACATTAAAATCCTATACATGCAAAACACACGATGAAAGTAAAATATAAATTATAAGCTTATGCAATCGGACGTTGTACAAAGTAAAAATGTGATTATCCTACGGAACATTATTGGATCTCCACAACATGACGGCCGCTGAAAAGTAATCTTGTTTGTGCTCACTAGATTTTACATGGGGATTTTTTGGCAAACATTGAAATAATGCTGCTTTTTATTGTAGAATTTCTCAACCTACCCTCTAAGGTTTTAATATTAATTCATGGTATGATAGTCGTACAGTGTCGTATTACCAATGTATAGTTCAGTATTCGAGTAGTTTTATTAATAATCGTGATGAAAAATGTTCAATGTTGGGACAAATAGTCACTTGAGTAACACAAAGTGTACCACCTTGATGAGTTTTGTTGTTACTGTTGTAATTCACATGTGGATGCAATGGGTGTATTTTAACCCAGACAGTATACAAGCAAGATAAGTGTAGAATGGGGTGAGTTGCCTCTTGTGTAGCTTTGTTAGTGACTGAGGCCAGCTGTTTCTCTAGTCAGGACCGTATTAAATACCCAATGATCAAAAACAGGTGAGACTAGATTTGAACCATTAAATAAGCGACGATTGTGCTGATCTAAATTACTAAATTCTGTCAAATACGCAAACTTTTTACCAAGTCAAACTAAATTTGTTGTTGCTGACCAGGTTGATGGGTCATGACAGTTGCTATAACTCAACATAACTCATTCCCTTAGTAAGTTATAAAATAGAATTCTAGACACTAGCGTATTCTGTGACTAGCTCACACAAAATACGTTCTTTTTTAATAAAAGATTGACTACAGCTGGTCCATATAGATGGGAAGTCTACTTCAGTATCCAATTGTCAATGCTACTGTCTTTCAGGGTCGAAACGGGGACCTTTTGGTTACCAAGTGAACCAGTAATATTTATCTTGTAGAGCATGACATTATTTGACCTACTCTAAAATGTGTTCTGTTTTAATATACTGTATACAGAGTAATGCGAATTAAAATTTGAAACATCACTTTTATCTTCAAACAATAATTTTTAGAGCTTCCAAAGAGTAAAATGGCACCAAGATTACATGAGGTCAAAACACATTGGGTTTTACAGAATTTCTGCAGGGCGCTGCGGGACCGAAAATGGCGTTATAGCTCTAACTACTCTTGTGAGTTTTAAACTTGAAACTTCGAAATTTTCATTCAAGTGAAAAAATATGGACACATTGCTATACTTTTTCACAGGTTGTTTAATAGTGATTAACTTGTGTTTTATTAGAGTATATAACCTGATTTTATAAAAAATACTGACCAACCTTTTGAATTGCGGTAGGATTGAACTATTTTGTAACACGAATCAACTTACAGGCATGGTTACTTGATCACAAACAAATTGTTCAATTGACTCTCACTAAAATAAAGTGATATTATATTAATTGGCTAAAGCTGGGTTATTAATTAGGTTTCAATCACTATGAGTAAAAAAATGATTAATTAAAAGTGCTTTATGTAACGTGCACTAATTGAATAATTGAAACGGAATGTGATTGTTCTTTAGTTTCTTTGTTTATTTTGTTTAGTTTTGTTTCTTATTGTAACAATTATTTTTTTTTTTGTGTTCGAGGAAAACATATATACTTTTTAAACCATTGCAGAAGGCAAATTTATATTTGTTATTGTCAATAATGTTTACATAAACCAATAATAATAAAACCCTTCCTTGAAAAAACAAAAATTATATATAAAGTCCTAGAATTGTTTGTGTTGCTGAACAATACATGCTTTACAAATTCAACAGGCTTAGTTATTGGAATAAAATGCAATGACCTGCTTTTGCACAACTAGGGCAGTTGTCTGCTGTGTTGAACAACCCTTCAATGTAAAACGATGCAACACAATCACATTCAACCGCATCAGATGCCTTTGTATAGCCTACTTAGTCACCGCGCTGACATCAGTTGGTTGGCAAACATTTTTCACGTATTCTGCAAACTAGAATGACGTTTGTAAGCTGTATAGGCATTTTATTTTTGATAAGCCGTGGAATAATTTGGAATAACACCACAAAAGACTAGAAGAGGATATTTTGGTCTGGGGTCCTACATAGTCATAAACTGCAATACTCCATTTATTTTCCCTATATAGTATAGATGACATTATTCGAAAATCACTAAGCCTTTCCCACAAAACCTATCATTTATGTGGTAAACATGCTCTTCTCATTCTAAGGAATGAGTTTTTGATTGAAATGCTAACCTGATGCGCTTAAAAAATCCAATGCAAAGCTCGACCCCTAGAAAGTCGACAGGGCAATTGCATGATAACCTCACATCAACATTCATGTAATAGTCTTTCGTTCATTTATAACTCATAAATTAAACATCACATTGGCTCATGCATTTACCATTCCTTGGTTTTTCCTTTCTCGTGCTGTGAAAAATGTTAATTGATGTTGACGGATATCGATTTGAATAGAATGTAACTATGTTGATATTGGAATTTTATCAATATAAAGGTATAAAGGAATATTGATTAGTCTGTAAATAAATTGCATGGTGAAACATTTCACTTAACTTAAGTGCATTGGTTTTGCTCGTCGATCCTTTTTATGCAAATTTTGTTTTGTGAGTTTTTCTCTATATTTACTCTCCGGAAGGATTCTTTGCCAAACGTAACTATCTAGCAACTATGTCAATAATAAATTAGCCTATAAGAAGTTTTTTTTTTTTTTATTCAGATGAGTATTTTGTGCTTAAGCAATGTGTTCGGGCCGTAGTTTAATATGGGAGTATATAGGCTTATTTTAATGAGAGTCAACTTGTGTTCTTTCTTTAATTACTCTAAAAATGTACACTATACTTAAAAAACCGTAGCCTATGACGAATAAGATTGCTATATAGAAAAGTAAATTCGAGCAGTAAAGACAAAAAAATACCAATAAAGCAGTTATACTATTAGAATGGAACTAATAGAATGGATTTATTTTATCGTCTCATTGAGATGTGAATAAATTATTGTACAAGCTAGAAGTAAACCATGTATACAATGTCTCCAAAACGTCCTGGGTTGGTTGAATATTTTTTCGAAATATTTCAAATAGAGCTGCAAAACTTTGCACAAACTTACTGGACATACAAATCTATTTTATCACATATTCAGTGATCCACTACTTTCTCAGGGTACGGCCCGCTAGGAGTCAGAAGCAAATCTAATGTAAGTATGGGTTGATATGCATATTTAAAAGGTCTTTATTAGTAGCGGATCACTGAATGTGTGATAAAATAGGTTTCTATGTCCAGTAACTTTATGCAACGTTTTGTAGCTCTGTTTTAAATATTTAGAAAATCTATAAGCGACCCGGAACTTTATGGACACCCTCTATTTACATTTATCTACACTAAAATATGTTCTATCGGTTATGATAATAGAGGATATAAAGACTCAGATATTTTTACAAAGTCATATAATTTTGCTGTAAAATTAATTCAACGTTAATTGTGTAACTTCTCAGTTATACTCATCAGTATTGTTTATAATAGACCTGGATTTAATTTTAGGATAGGTTGGGTATTATGGGTTATTCATCACAGCTTAGTCATTAAAGAAAAATAAGAATCCGTTTAGTGTACAAAAAAGCAATAAATAATCACTTTCAAAACTAACATCAGTTTTCTCGAATAGGGCCGCCACCATTGAAATGTATTCTATATTAAAAAGATCACGTAAACGAGGTTAGGTTGAGTTAAGTTGTGGTTAGGTAAGGTTTGGTTTCGGTTAGGCTAGGGTTGTTCTTTTACGAAATGTAAGCAAAACGTTTCATTTATGTATATTACTTCTATACATAAAATATTGATTACTTCGCATATACATCACCTTCATTTTTATAGATATGAAAAATTTCAATAGTAATGAGCCTCTTCTTTAAAACACTCATAGTTTGTTCTAGTACCTACTCATGTCCACATTTCCACTGATTCCGTTCACCCTCCCTTTATCCGTGTACTGCCACAGACTGTACCCCTTGGTCTTCCATGTCGAAGGGATTGTCGGTTGACTTTTCGTGGTGTAGTGGGCAATCCATAGCTTGTATTGGCTAAAGTCGTATTTCCTCCAGGCAACCTTGTTCTCCCAGTAGGAAGGTCCTGTGTAAATCCACAAGTTACTGAAACTTCCCTTCAGTCCGTCGAGAACAGCTTTCAAAACGTCCGCCATCTTGTCTTTGCTGACGTTCTGGTTGAACTGCTCTTCTACGTCAATGACGAGCATATCGTTCGCACCAAAATTGACGGATTTCAAGGCGTTTTTAATGTTCTGCACTTGAGCCTGCGCCGTGGATGTGCCACCCCTGAGGTAGTGGTAGGCCCCGGGCTGAATACCGCTTTGTTTTATCCCTCTCCAGTTGGTTGCGAAGGTGTCGTCTGTGTATGTGCCTCCCTCAGTAGCTTTGGCGATGGCGAGTTTCACTCCAGCTGCCCTTACTTCAGTCCAGTTGATCCGACCATTCCAGTGGGAAACGTCTACCACCTTGTCTTCTGCAGCTACCCAAGCCACCTATTAGTAAACCAGAGGAAATGATATTACATTGGTGTATTTTTATGCGTAACTGAAATGAAAAGTATCAATTTTATCGAACAGTTAGTCTACCTATATGTATTTATATATATATATTTGTATGTAATGTATTTGCTACATGTATTTGCTACTATAAGTAAATAAACTAGCAACTGTGAACTTATTTGATACAACTTGGAGCATTGTGACGGAGAATTTCGTAGTTTTTTCAAACGATCCTAATGTTAGTAGGTTATTACGAGATTGTTGTCGGTAGATAGTTAGTAGTTTGTTTAATTTGGATTGAGTAAATTTAGTGTTGCTAAACATGGCACAATCATTACAAACAAATAGTTGAATACACTCTTTGGCTTGTGTGTTTGTGATAGCTAAAAACATTAAAGAATTTTTTTGGAGCTAACTCAGAACTGGATACAAACTTATACAACACGTTCGTTTAGTAAATAAGTAAGCTAAGATATTAAGGGAAACAACATGAGTTTGACGAAACATAATGCACAGTAGTTCATCATATAATATAACAAACGTGTTTTTTCACTGTTGCTTATTTCCCAGCCCGGGTCAAAAAGAATCGAGATGAAATGTATGTACAGTTAGTATTGGATAAAGTAGAGTTTAACCTGACTTTTATACGCAAAAATGTATTGATGAGTAGTATTTAAAGAAAGTTAAGGACACAAAAAAAATAGATAACCAACATTCTGATGAACAGATAAGTGGACCACATCAATTCAACTGACAACACGAATAACTTAATCAGTTTATAATACGGATTATATCTTTCTAAATTACATTAGAGTACAGGACAGTTGTCAAGTTATAACATAAATATTTTCTTCGTGGAAGTCAGCAATAATTAAATCAGTTCAGCCTGGAGACGCTTTTTAATGAATATGAGCTTAAGTCTGGATGTATGGTATGTCCAAAATCGTGCTAAATATGCTTAAGAATATGAATAATAAAGTAGATTAATTAAGCCCGTAAATAAAAAAGTCTATATTGTTTTGAATACGGCCATAGTATATTATAACGTAATTGTTTTTCAAATAGTGCATTGTTAAATTGCTTATTAATTTATTTGTTTTGTTCTAGTTTTATCTTATGCAGTTTATTAGGTAATACAGTTTAAACCGAATGAGGAAAGTAAAGTTTGTATGAAATTTGTATTATTAAATTTCTAATCTTTACTATCAAATAGATCAATAATGTCTAAACATAGTAAAGAAGGCTGACTACTTTACTTGACCTTTTACTTTAAGATAAATTTGAAATCAAAAATTGTAACAAAAATAAAAAAGGTAAATGATGTTCCATACTTACAAGTGTAAATAATAGTATATACATGCAGGTCACCATCTTGAGCATAACTAACACTGAACGACCAACTAACTGTTAAATGATTTGAGATAAAAAGTGAACCAATTTATATAGGGTTATCTGACTTGCACAAGGAAAATATTCTAAACAATCACTTTGCTATAGATAATTTCATCCGTGTACTTCACACGGATTTGACATGTGTGAAGATAAACTAAGTTGTTTGCTTTCTTAAGCCTTATCAAGAACTTCACGGTGGTTCTCGGAACTAATTTCCACAGTGGTGATGCGGTATGGCAAAAAGTCCAATTGCAAGTTTCATCCGAGGTGGCTTGACTTTGCTTTTTTTTAGCATACTATCGCTCTACGCCTACTTTTACTTAGGTTTAAGTGTTATTATAGCTATGACAAAATGGTATTTTTATACCCGATAGATAAATGCATGATATTAGTATTATCGTTGGATATGGACGTGGATACTCAATGGAATTTTTTTACAAGTTTATCTAATCGTCTCACTATTATCTTCGTTTTGTAACATTACATTATACTACGTAATTGCTAATAACTAAATTACAGAGTAAAACATATAACTAAGTGTTAAGACACGTTTACACATACACATACACACATACATGCTTGTACACTGTAAGTATTTAGAGCACTTTAACTAGCTATCGGTTTTCAATTAGTAAAGTAATTAAGAAAAAGACAAATTTAGCCTGTTTGGAAGCTGTTTGAATTAAACTTACTGAAGCTATTTTTATAACGTATTTTTAACATTCACGCTTTTTTGTTGTTTTTTTAACTAGGCACTAAGAAATTTAACATTCAAGTAACAACATGGTGGCTCAAGATATAGATAAAGTGGATTTTCCAAAATAAATTTACTGTTGAGTTAAGACATTCTTCTATGGGACATTCAGTTCGTACTTAATTATGTTTTCTTTCAAATTTAAAGTATCAAATCAATCTCTACTGATGAAGTTTCTTCAAATCATTTAACGTAATGTTATAATTTGGAAAAAAATCAAGGTTAACGATTAAACACATATCAAATAACACTTTTTCTCATAAAATCCGTGATGTAGCCATGCAACGCTTTTTTAGAATCCATAAATATTGCAACCGACTCATGTATTAACCATGCCTTGGTTCTTTGTCTTGTTTCGTGATGTGGTAAAGCATGTTAATGCCATAGTTGATAGCGATAGATGTGAACAGACTATAAATACGTTGAGAGTGACACGAGACCTACAAAAGGTTAAAGGAATTTATCTTACTTAAGTAAAAATCTGAGTGTTAACAAACACGTATTTTGTACTATACTTGTTATTAATCACGATATTTTCAAATTGTTTTATAATCTTACTGTGTTCGGTTTCTTGATTAGTTTGAGCAATGACTTTTAGCTAGTTTAGAATTTTAGAAGTTTCATATTTATTAACTGTAACTTTAAGCATTGTTGGATTGTTATCTAATGGGAACCAAGAGATATATTGCTATAACATAAAATTGGTATAAATATCTTAAAAATTGCTATCACTCTTATTCCTTACTTACTCGTGTTCCTTATGGCTGTTAAAGCAGACACTTACGAAATAATACATGGTATAGAATCCTTATTAAAGAATTAGATAACATCTTGAACAACAATACTAGTGTTAGTATTATTATGTGGAGAAGGGAGAGCGAGCTGGTAAAGTGGTAAAGCGTGCGACTTCGGGTTCAAATCCCGCTAAATCCCCAATGGATTTTATCTATGTGATAATGCCGCAACCCCCAGACTGAAGTAATGTGAACAACATTCCTGGGATCGTGCATAGCGTCCTAAGACAAACAAAGTATGTGAATAAAATCAAATGGCTCCCCAACACTAGCTATTTTTTTACACTTTTAAGATAAATAAGTAATGACAGTAACAGTGTTTACAGGTAACAGTGTTTAAAGATGTTACTTTTGCTATCATGTGCATTCATCATCAGGAGAAGCCGGAGATTTCTGAAGAGTATTCCAGACTCCAGACTCCGACTAGAGAGTCAAAATTAGAGACTAGATTAGTCTCCGATTTTAAAAATTGTTCCCTCATACAAGACCATAGCGTTATGTAAACTAAGTAAGTTCCAATTGCTTAACGCAAGCAGGAACAGCGAACTAGCCCGAGATCAAGTCAAACATTAAAGCTTGCATATTCCAAGTGAGCTTTTGTTGTTTGTTCCAGTTGGGAATAAATTAATTCACAGCACAAGGCGAATATAAATGCACTTTATATCGACTTATTCAGCAACCATACATATCAAAAAAGTGAGGCGGGAAGACCACTGGTGAATATAGATACACTTTATATCGACTTATTCAGCAACCATACATATAAAAAAAGTGAGGTGGGAAGACCACTGGTGAATATAGATGCACTTTATATCGACTTATTCAGCAACCATCCATATCAAAAAAGTGAGGCAGGAAGACCACTGGTGAATATAAATGCACTTTATATCGACTTATTCAGCAACCATACATATCAAAAAAGTGAGGCAGGAAGACCACTGGTGAATATAAATGCACTTTATATCGACTTATTCAGCAACCATACATATAAAAAAAGTGAGGCAGGAAGACCACTGGTGAATATAAATGCACTTTATATCGACTTATTCAGCAACCATACATATCAAAAAAGTAAAGGCGGGAAGACCACTGGTGAATATAGATGCACTTTATATCGACTTATTCAGCAACCATACATATCAAAAAAGTGAGGTGGGAAGACCACTGGTGAATATAGATGCACTTTATATCGACTTATTCAGCAACCATACATATCAAAAAAGTGAGGCAGAAAGACCACTGGTGAATATAAATGCACTTTATATCGACTTATTCAGCAACCATACATATCAAAAAAGTGAGGTGGGAAGACCACTGGTGAATATAGATGCACTTTATATCGACTTATTCAGCAACCATCCATATCAAATAAGCTAGGCAGGTACACCATAGGTGAATATAGATGCACTTTATATCGCCTTGGATTCGGTTACCATCCAATCCATATCAATTAAACGAGGCAGGAAGACCACTGATGAATATAGATGCACTTTATATCGACTTATTCAGCAACCATACATATCAAAAAAGTGAGGCGGGAAGACCACTGGTGAATATAGATGCACTTTATATCGACTTATTCAGCAACCATACATATAAAAGAAAGTGAGGCAGGAAGACCACTGGTGAATATAAATGCACTTTATATCGACTTATTCAGCAACCATACATATCAAAAAAGTGAGGCGGGAAGACCACTGGTGAATACAGATGCACTTTATATCGACTCATTCAGCAACCATACATATCAAAAAAGTGAGGTGGGAAGACCACTGGTGAATATATTTGCACTTTATATCGACTTATTCAGCAACCATACATATCAAAAAAGTGAGGCAGAAAGACCACTGGTGAATATAAATGCTTTTTATATCGACTTATTCAGCAACCATACATATCAAAAAGGTGAGGCAGGAAGACCACTGGTGAATATAAATGCACTTTATATCGACTTATTCAGCAACCATACATATCAAAAAAGTGAGGCGGGAAGACCACTGGTGAATATAAATGCACTTTATATCGACTTATTCAGCAACCATACATATCAAAAAAGTGAGGCGGGAAGACCACTGGTGAATATAGATGCACTTTATATCGACTTATTCAGCAACCATCCATATCAAATAAGCTAGGCAGGTACACCATAGGTGAATATAGATGCACTTTATATCGACTTATTCAGCAACCATACATATAAAAAAAATTGAGCCGGGAAGACCACTGGTGAATATAGATGCACTTTATATCGACTTATTCAGCAACCATACATATCAAAAAAGTGAGGCGGGAAGACCACTGATGAATATAGATGCACTTTATATCGACTTATTCAGCAACCATCCATATCAAAAAAGTGAGGCAGAAAGACCACTGGTGAATATAGATGCACTTTATATCGACTTATTCAGCAACCATACATATCAAAAAAGTGAGGCAGAAAGACCACTGGTGAATATAAATGCACTTTATATCGACTTATTCAGCAACCATACATATCAAAAAAGTGAGGCAGAAAGACCACTGGTGAATATAAATGCACTTTATATCGACTTATTCAGCAACCATACATATCAAAAAGGTGAGGCAGGAAGACCACTGGTGAATATAAATGCACTTTATATCGACTTATTCAGCAACCATACATATCAAAAAAGTGAGGCGGGAAGACCACTGGTGAATATAGATGCACTTTATATCGACTTATTCAGCAACCATCCATATCAAATAAGCTAGGCAGGTACACCATAGGTGAATATAGATGCACTTTATATCGACTTATTCAGCAACCATACATATCAAAAAAGTGAGGCAGAAAGACCACTGGTGAATATAAATGCTTTTTATATCGACTTATTCAGCAACCATACATATTAAAAAGGTGAGGCAGGAAGACCACTGGTGAATATAAATGCACTTTATATCGACTTATTCAGCAACCATACATATCAAAAAAGTGAGGCGGGAAGACCACTGGTGAATATAAATGCACTTTATATCGACTTATTCAGCAACCATACATATCAAAAAAGTGAGGCGGGAAGACCACTGGTGAATATAGATGCACTTTATATCGACTTATTCAGCAACCATCCATATCAAATAAGCTAGGCAGGTACACCATAGGTGAATATAGATGCACTTTATATCGACTTATTCAGCAACCATACATATAAAAAAAATTGAGCCGGGAAGACCACTGGTGAATATAGATGCACTTTATATCGACTTATTCAGCAACCATACATATCAAAAAAGTGAGGCGGGAAGACCACTGATGAATATAGATGCACTTTATATCGACTTATTCAGCAACCATCCATATCAAAAAAGTGAGGCAGAAAGACCACTGGTGAATATAGATGCACTTTATATCGACTTATTCAGCAACCATCCATATCAAATAAGCTAGGCAGGTACACCATAGGTGAATATAGATGCACTTTATATCGACTTATTCAGCAACCATATATATAAAATAAATTGAGCCGGGAAGACCACTGGTGAATATAGATGCACT